AAAAAACTGACTAGCTGAATAGATAGTCTGGTTGTTGAAGAGAATTTGGTATATTTAAACGTACATATTTTGAAAATACTGTATTCTAATCACTTCTGGCATATTTTATGCCGACAGGGTGGACATGTTAAGCTTTGGCAAAGCAAGTAAGCAAACTCAGACGAAGAAAATTTGTCAATTTAAAAGTCACCAACTTATTCACCTCAGCTGTTGAAATTCCTGCCACTGAAAAGACAAAAAAATCTGTTGTCACTAAAGGGGATGGCCTTTTCTTAAAGGCGCGGATTCCCCAATACCACAGGGTGGACAACCATTCAAGGGATATGGACAAACTCTTCTTTTTAATTAAATAAAAATATTGTTTTTATTACCAAATGATCAATACAAATGGAGTAATCTCTTATTTAACAAAACATTAACAGGAGAACAAAATTTGTAAATTTTATGATTTGACAATATTCTACTACTCATTCAAATTGAATGAGTGGTGCATGGGACATAGCAAAATAACATGCTTACACAAAACTAAAAAAAAAAACTAGAAAATGTATCTAAAGTGCCAAGTAATGCTTTTGTTATGACTATAGAAACTTAACCTAATAATAACACACATACCCTTTCATAGTCGTTTTTATGTTAAGTTATCATGGCAAAGGAGTTATTTATGTACAGGACACCAAAAGGCACCCTACAGTGATATTGACCCTTATAATAATCTGGAGGATGCTGATCTGTATATCATTACTATGTAATTTACCAGAAGTGTGTACTGGACTCCCCCGTTCACTAAGCTGTTTTGTCTCTTCCATCAACCTCTTGTATCTCTCTGACAATCTCTTGTGTGCCAAAGTTTGTGTGTCCGTGCTACTTTCCCCCACTGCAGGAAAACACAAAATTTCATCATTTTGACAAAAAAATAAATAAATCACAAATTTAAATAAATTACGACTCTTCCAATCATACATAAATAATTACAATTCCATTACAGTTTGAGTAACACAGTCGTATTCCCTGATCATCCTCAAACATTCTCATTGTATCTCGGACTTACATTTACTCTTCTCTGCATATTTGCCCCCATGATGCAGTGTTTTTTGAGATGGCATTTCATCAGTCTGTAATAATGTCAGTTCATCAGGCAGATGCTTACTTTTGTGTGTATGCTTACGCTTTTGAAGATCTGAAATGAACCAAATATCAAGGTGAGTTCATTACAATTTAATAGCAGCTGTATTTGAACGAAAATTAAAAGAGAAACTCCAGAGACATAGAAGAGACAGGAAAGTACTGGTATGATGCCATATAGACAGCAGCCAAATATATGGTTTAGCAGTCATTAAATTAAATATTTGATCACTCTATGCCACAACCCACCAGTCAATATCAAGTATTTCGGAGAAATGGGAATTACAACATGAAAGATATTGCAATATGTTGTAACCGTACTGTAGGCTACTGAAGCGTTTTACACCAAATACATTTCATAAATTAGCCAGAGAAGCTGCAGCTTACCTCTCACTTGCAAGTGAATTACTCCTGTCTTCTGACATCGATCATGAAAAAGTTTGCATTTGTAGTCTCCTGAATCAGATTGTTGAACATTTCTCAAAGTCAGAGCAAGATTTCCTCTCATCAGCTCCTGGATGGACACACTCACTCGGTTCTTATAGTCATTATTTCTCATCTCCTGTCCGTTCTTATACAGATGGTTCCTTTAAACCATCTGATTTCCATAGACACAGCATTGGTTTCAGGTGAGAGGTGAACAGGTAGGATGATGTCTGATTCAGAGTCAGTGTGCACAGGGCCAGTAGGAACCACAAGTCTGAAGTCTTGAGCTGGACAGAGGAATTTAGCTGATTTAAATATGCATGCTAACGAACGTAAGTGAAACAAAATTAACTGTGAAAAAAACCTGCAGAATACTTACAGTTGATATAGAGAAAAATATATTCCTTTAGTTTGACATCCATGGATGACCTCACAAATATAAATGCCCCTGTGACCTTCTGACATCTCTGAGAGTCAAAGACACATTTCCATTGTGTAGCTCCTGCAATGGGAGACTCACTCGACCCTCATAATCTCTGCTCACGGTCATCTGTCTATCCTTATAATGACAGACCAGATCAGACTTATTCCACCACTTGATCTCCATTGAAGCAGCACTTATAGCTGGCTCAAGATGACACGACAGAACATCATCATCTCCAGGACCACAACATATAATGTCAGATGGCGAAACAAGAGCCAACTCTGAGGAAGAGAAAATAAACTACATTATTCCAGTGTCGATAGTGTTAATGTACAGTGAAATAATTAGTGACAGATCATTTTTAACTTGCCTTGCCTAGTTTCTGACACTTCGTCAGCCATTTGTAATATTTCTGGTCCTCTGAAATGGAAAATCCCTGTAAGCCTAATGACAATATGAAATAATCTGGCAAAATTCATGTTTTCGTGAACATGTCCTCACATATTTTAAATTAGACATAAATCAACTTGATTACAAATCTCTTCAATTCAGACAAAATTGATGAAAATTAAAATGTGAGAAAAATAAAAGCTTTTAGTTACACAAGTTAAGTTTCTGGTTACTTTAAGCTAGCTGGGTAACTATAAAAGCAGCCCCTCCATGGAGCATTTCTCCATTACAATCTTGCTAAGAGTTTTGGAAAAAGTTTTGGGTATTTCAGAAGACTATCCACAAAAATAAAGAAGGAAAGAAAGTTACATTTATCACTTTTGTCCAGTCAAATTAAAATCCAAAGGTGAAGTTTCTTGCGTTTATTCTTTACTTTCACCGGTCACGTTTGTAAGATAAAGCGCGAGATAAGTGAATGCGAATAACAAGATGGTTATCACCGCATAACTGCTAGACCACTTTAATAAAACCCCTTTTAAAAGTATATATTGGTGAATATTCAAACTTGCATTCACATAAGGAGAGTAAGTTGAATGTGTCTCGTTGGCGGGAAACTTTTGAACGTCACAATCAGAATTTTTCAGAACTCCTCACCCGGAGTAAATTAGAATGTCATGGAAAAGTTCATTTATTTCAGTAATTCAACTCAAATTGTGAAACTCGTGTATTAAATAAATTCAATGCACACAGACTGAAGTAGTTTAAGTCTTTGGTTCTTTTAATTGTGGTGATTTTGGCTCACATTTAACAAAAACCATGCCACGCCGAATTGAGGCAGTAATTAAAGCAAAAGGAGCCCCTACCAAGTATTGAGTACATGTACAGTAAATTAACATACTTTCCAGAAGGCCAACAATTCACTAAAAATGTTTTTTTATTGGTCTTATGAAGTATTCTAATTTGTTGAGATAGTGAATTGGTGGGTTTTTGTTAAATGTGAGCCAAAATCATCACAATTAAAAGAACCAAAGACTTTAAACTACTTCAGTCTGTGTGCATTGAATTTATTTAATACACGAGTTTCACAATTGGAGTTGAATTACTGAAATAAATTAACTTTTCCACGACATTCTAATTTATTGAGATGCACCTGTATATGTAGCTTCTAGGATAGTTGTTGTTGTGTGGCCCATGCTGCACCTGTATGTTTGTACCAGAAATATATATTGTATACGATGTAAATAACATTTACATCATGATTTACCTTACCTTTTATGCACTGGCTGAATGTCTTTCCAGTAGAGGGAGCTCTTTACTGAATTGTCAATCCACAGTCTCATAACAGAAGACAATGATCCACCTGGGTCTCAAATTCACACTGAACCTGAGCAACATCCAGCAGTAACAGCAGAATATAAAAAAAATTATGAAACTATAGTGTTTTTATTTTATAGATAATTATAAAAATCTTACTACATTTAGCCAAGATAACAGAATAAGTGTGTGTGTATATGTATATATATATATATATATATATCAATATTTCCACAATGACCATACCTAGTTGTGCAAACGAGATCTCGTGCACTTGAAAGGCAACGTTATATTGTTTAAAATGCCAAATATGAGGGCGTAACAGAGATAAAGAGTAGAGCTGCCAACAGATTGCAAAGACAAAACGGAAAAACTACAAGGAAGTTTAGAAGCCCTTGCTCTCAGTCCGGCCAAGTGAAGCAAAAGGGCCTTCAGCAACAACACATCCTAGTGAAATACCACATTAATGCTGACTGTATAGTGATTGTACATGTTTGATGCTGATGAGCGTATATTATTCATTTAGCTGTAAAACCAGTCACCATCTTCATGTCCTTCACAAATATAATAGCTTTTGGTGTTATATGTTCTAATGCAACAATTGTGTTCAATCATATAGTGGTTATAGTAGTATAGTTACAGAAATGTGTCCTGCATCTTGACTACAATCTGTCTATTTATTCATATGATCATACCTGATGTTTTCTTTTAATTATTCTGTCAGTAATTTAAAGGATTAGTTCAGCCAAAAATGAAAATGAGCTAAAAATGTATTCCCTCTCAGGCAAACCAAGATGAAGATGAATTTTTCTCTTCATCAGATTTGGAGAAATGTATCATTATATCACTCACTCACCAATGGATGCTCTGCAGTGAATGGGTGCCATCAGAATGAGAGTCCAAACAGCTGATAAAAACATCACAATAATCCACACCACCATTAATTAACGACTTGTACAGCGAAAAGTTGCATGTTTGTAAGAAACAAATCCATCAATAAGGCATTTTAACTTTAAATCATCCCTTTAGGCCAAAATACAAGTCTATAATCCATAACATATTTATTTAAACAGTTTTTTCTTGTAAACTCTAAATGATCTGTCCATATCTCTCCTGATTCAGATGGAATTACTTTTTGAACTGGAGAAAGCAATAATGGACTCATATTTTAGCCGGAAGCAACTGTTTGAAGTTAAAAACATGATCAGTTTGTTCATTACAAACACACAATTTTTTGCAGTCTTGTTGAATACTCCAGGATTATTGAGCTGTTTGGACTCTCATTCTGACGGCACCCATTCACTGCAGAGGAACCAAGCAAATAATGCAATGCTAAATTTCTCAGAATCCGATGAAGAAACAAACTCATCTACATCTCGGATGGCCTGTAAATTCTCAGAAAATCTTTATTTTCGACTGAAGTTTTCCTTTAAATCACATTCTTAAGTTTTCTACTTTTTTGAAAATAGAAGATTGGTATAAATGGTTTAGTATTATTATTAAATACATAATAATCATGACCACATTTAGCTTTGAAAGCATCCTAATGGAATTTAATCAGTTCAATTGAAGGTTAACCATATTATTTAATTCGAAGTACGCCATTTAGAATTAAAATCATATCAGATTTTGTACTGTACACTTAGCTTTGTTAAGGAGACGTCTCTTTGGGTACAAGTAAACAGGAACTATGTGCAATTAACTGGCCTTGATTTATTTTTGAAGTTAAATCGTGCATTCGAAACACCTGAGATATTAACAGAAATGTGTTGTGGCGTGAATTCTTTTGACTTATTAGACATATTCAACCTTGTTAAATAAATTGTGAATAGTTATTTTATCTCAACTTGACCTTGTGTAAAAAAGAAAGTACATAAAAAAACCTGTTAAAATTAATAGACTTAATAGTGAGATCAACACATCAATATATCTGGACAATCACATTAAAACTGCAGTCACATGTAATATTCTGAGTCATTAGTCACTGAAATCTTAAATATACTTCTGCTCTGGGATTCAAGTAAAATGACACAAGTCAAGTTATTCTTACACCTCAAAATATCCAGTTCAGATGGGGAGTTTCTATTTGGATGTGATTTATGGTACTGTAAGAGCAGTGAAGTGCCTTCATCAGAAGGTACAGAGGTGATGCATAACTGAGATCCTCGGTCAAGCTTACTTTTAATGAACCTACAACCATTACACTAACTGGTCAGATCATTAACCATTAGACTCCCATCACCCTGGCGGGGATGCACGCTAATCATTTCGATTCTTCATTATATTTAAAAATGAGGACCAAATTGAATCTAAATGGACTGGTCCTTCTGGAAAACACGAAAGGCTTTCCGCTATCAAACTATCTCTTGCTTTTAATGCTCTTTTATACATTTTATTAAACTAATACTTTTTTAGACGAAGCAGCTTCCACCATTTTTACATCATGTTGTTCATGGCTTCATGGCATCGATTTGTACAACAAGCATGGAATGTATGGATGCATGTTTGTATGTAATGACAAACATGCATTCAAACGAACACACACGCAAACACGCTATTTCCTAGTTCTATGCAACCTCATGTCTTCTGACCGTCATGGGCGATCTGTTCTACCTCTACAGGTCTTTTTTGCTTTTCTTTGAGTGGTTCTGCTCAGCTTTGGACGGGTCTGGTTTCTCTGGTGACAACAGCTCCAGAAGATCCTCCATAGCCTTCTTGATATCAGCTCCAAACTTGTGAGAATCCTGCAATTTAGAAAGAATATTAGAAACAAATTAGCATCATTTTCATTAAACACTGCCATAACAAGGTGTAGCATCACAAAGAAATCCATAAATGTTATATTTGCTATTAAGGGATATTTCATTATTCATAGTTTTTTTTATTTTATTTCTTTATTCATACATATTTTTTTAACTATGCTGGTAACCAAGCAGCTGCTGGTAGCCATTGACTTTAAACGTATGGAACAAAATACTATGAAAGTCAATGGCTACCAGCAACTGATAGTTTTTCTTTTTTTTTTGCATTAAACAGAAGAACATCTTTGGAGCAACTTGAGGGTTAGTAAATGATGACAGGATTTACATTTTAGTTTTTGTTCTAACCAGTGTTATTTTTGCATTATTTATATGCTATTATAGTTTGTATTTACATTTTGAATAATCTTTTATTTTTTATATTTTTAGCTTTTAATTGAATTTTAGTATTTTTTTTTATATATTACCATTTATTTTAAATTCAGTTTTAATTTTAATTTTTTAATTTGTACAGTTCATTGTAATATTTAAATACACTATGTGATTAGTATTTTTCTTAGCTTCTATCAGTGCACTTATTATATTTATATACTATTATAATATGTATTCATATTTTATTAGCTTTTATTTTTATATTTTCAGTTTAAGATTGTCATTTTGTTACATGTAACAATTTTTGTACTTCAACTTTATTCTATATCAGTAATCTGCCAAGGCAATAGTTCTAATTATCATTTAAGCTTTTTAAGTTTATAATAAAGTATTTATATTTAATTTTTCACCTTTATTTCAACTACCACAAATTTTTTTTAATGGTTTTAATTTTAGTTTAGATCCTAACCAACTTCAATAAAGACATTTTGTCAATTAGTTTACTAGTCTCTATTTTTCCCTTTTCTGTAGTTTCAGGAAACTGGTAATGAAAAAAAGTACTAACAGTCTGAGGACAAGAGTGTTTGCAGGAAATGTGCAGGTTGATCATGTTTTCTCCGATGATGATGTAAGACACGCCGTAACCATCATCTGCAACCTGTCAAGAGCACACAAATGAAAATAAATGAAATGCACACAAAAGAAAAAAATGAATTTGTGAATTTGCATGAATATTTCTGACCGGGCCAAATCCTCCACCGCAGGTGGTGTACTCTGGGTGGTTAACGAAATCAAACAGCTCCACCTGCTGAAGAGGAGTCTGACTGGTGGACAGATTCCACGTTTCTGAAAGCACCTGAAGAAAACACACACACACAAATTTAATATTACAAAATATTTGTTTCTTATTTGCATAAATATGTTATTATTTAGGTATTATTTCAGTAGCAAGAATGAGATTTTTTTTGTATAACGGTAATGAGAACTGTCATGAATGCAGAAAAAATGTGGGGAAAAATTAGGAAATTTTCTTTGTGCAATTGTTTCTTTCACTTATGACACACATGCAAGGGCATTTGCAAGAAAGCAAAAATCACTTAAACTTCATTTTTTCGACAGATATATAGTAACTGTGTGTTGGACACCTCTTTAAGGAAAGGTGACTCCTCTCCCAGGTATTTGGACACAAGGTAGAGGCAGAAGAGGTGTCTGTCTATTCCTCCTCCTGTCATTGCCATCTTGTACAGATGCTGGTGTTTCTCAGCCGCCGTGCGAAAGAGACGCCGACACACTTCCTTACTCTACAGACACAGAGAGAGAGATGTTTAAATATGCACTCGTGTTTGAATTTGTACTCGATTTGTGAACTAATTGTTCATAAACGATTCACAATGTAGCAATACAGTGTGAAATTATGTAATCAAATGCAAAATAAAACTATTTTAATTATTGCATTAAACTGGGAAAATTACAGTAATTACAGCATTTGAATGCATTTTTTATGGCTATCATCATAACCTGCGTCACTCATGGCAATTAAATTTAACAGCATTTAACAAATGTTTATGTCACTACAAAATCAGAGCATGTAGTTGTTCAGCAATGTGTTGATATATTAGTGGATTGGTTACCTCTCCTCCCTCCAGAGCTCTGATGAAGGCGCAGCTCTCGCTGGTGCAGGAACGCACCGTCTCGGTCCGGCCCTCGCGGAATAAACGGGTCATAGATGCTTCGTAGGTCAGAGAGAACGTGCCTCGATTCTGGATGTGGGGAAGGAACAACAATGAAAAGAATATAATTTGTTTTATCAATTATTCAGTCAAGTTTATATTTGAATACAATATAACTAGATTTTAAAAAATTGTGGTTACTAGGGCCTTTTGTGTAGCTACAAGGGCATTGCTAAGGTGTCCTGGGTGGTTGCTAAGGGTTTGGATAATTGTTAGTGTTGCTAAGCAATTGCTAGCATATTTTATGTAGTTAACTTGTCTTAGCATGCTGCTGGCATGTTTTAACATTGCTAGCATGTTTTAGAACACTGCTTAAATGTTTTAACATACTAATAGCATGTTTTAACATGTTACTAACAAGTTTTAAAATAAAATATTTTAATGTGTTAATATGTTTTAACATTGTTAACATGTTTACCATGCTTCTAACATGTTTAGCATGTTTCAACACATTTATTTTACACAATTTTTTACAAGTTTAATAAGCTTCTAACTAGGGATGCATCGAATGTTCGGCAACCGAAATTATTCAGCCGAAAATAGCGAAATAAGCGAATAAGCGAAAAGACCAAATAAATTGTACCGAACAATGACGTGATGCGATCAAATAGAAACCAGTGTAGAGTGAGAGGCATGCACTCTTTATAATGCAGCAAACATTTCGGCAGTGTGGAAGCATTTAAAACTGTCCGAGAAAGACACAAAAATCATTACAAGCACCGACAGCAAGAGACTGTTTACTGTAACGCAAGTGAGAAGTGGAAGGGGTGGTTTTTGCTGGTTACTGTATGATAATTGAAATCACGAAATGGCCTTAAACAATTAATAAATAAACTGCAGAACGTTATGTTTTCTAATACATGCACGAATTGCATGCATTCAAACGATTCAAACAGCGCTGCACGAGCTCGTTAGCCAGGGTTCAAAGTTCAAAGTTATTTTTATATTTTCAGTTTAAGATTGTCATTTTGTTACATGTAACAATTTTTGTACTTCAACTTTATTCTATATCAGTAATCTGCCAAGGCAATAGTTCTAATTATCATTTAAGCTTTTTAAGTTTATAATAAAGTATTTATATTTAATTTTTCACCTTTATTTCAACTACCACAAATTTTTTTTTTAATGGTTTTAATTTTAGTTTAGATCCTAACCAACTTCAATAAAGACATTTTGTCAATTAGTTTACTAGTCTCTATTTTTCCCTTTTCTGTAGTTTCAGGAAACTGGTAATGAAAAAAAGTACTAACAGTCTGAGGACAAGAGTGTTTGCAGGAAATGTGCAGGTTGATCATGTTTTCTCCGATGATGATGTAAGACACGCCGTAACCATCATCTGCAACCTGTCAAGAGCACACAAATGAAAATAAATGAAATGCACACAAAAGAAAAAAATGAATTTGTGAATTTGCATGAATATTTCTGACCGGGCCAAATCCTCCACCGCAGGTGGTGTACTCTGGGTGGTTAACGAAATCAAACAGCTCCACCTGCTGAAGAGGAGTCTGACTGGTGGACAGATTCCACGTTTCTGAAAGCACCTGAAGAAAACACACACACACAAATTTAATATTACAAAATATTTGTTTCTTATTTGCATAAATATGTTATTATTTAGGTATTATTTCAGTAGCAAGAATGAGATTTTTTTTGTATAACGGTAATGAGAACTGTCATGAATGCAGAAAAAATGTGGGGAAAAATTAGGAAATTTTCTTTGTGCAATTGTTTCTTTCACTTATGACACACATGCAAGGGCATTTGCAAGAAAGCAAAAATCACTTAAACTTCATTTTTTCGACAGATATATAGTAACTGTGTGTTGGACACCTCTTTAAGGAAAGGTGACTCCTCTCCCAGGTATTTGGACACAAGGTAGAGGCAGAAGAGGTGTCTGTCTATTCCTCCTCCTGTCATTGCCATCTTGTACAGATGCTGGTGTTTCTCAGCCGCCGTGCGAAAGAGACGCCGACACACTTCCTTACTCTACAGACAGAGAGAGAGAGATGTTTAAATATGCACTCGTGTTTGAATTTGTACTCGATTTGTGAACTAATTGTTCATAAACGATTCACAATGTAGCAATACAGTGTGAAATTATGTAATCAAATGCAAAATAAAACTATTTTAATTATTGCATTAAACTGGGAAAATTACAGTAATTACAGCATTTGAATGCATTTTTTATGGCTATCATCATAACCTGCGTCACTCATGGCAATTAAATTTAACAGCATTTAACAAATGTTTATGTCACTACAAAATCAGAGCATGTAGTTGTTCAGCAATGTGTTGATATATTAGTGGATTGGTTACCTCTCCTCCCTCCAGAGCTCTGATGAAGGCGCAGCTCTCGCTGGTGCAGGAACGCACCGTCTCGGTCCGGCCCTCGCGGAATAAACGGGTCATAGATGCTTCGTAGGTCAGAGAGAACGTGCCTCGATTCTGGATGTGGGGAAGGAACAACAATGAAAAGAATATAATTTGTTTTATCAATTATTCAGTCAAGTTTATATTTGAATACAATATAACTAGATTTTAAAAAATTGTGGTTACTAGGGCCTTTTGTGTAGCTACAAGGGCATTGCTAAGGTGTCCTGGGTGGTTGCTAAGGGTTTGGATAATTGTTAGTGTTGCTAAGCAATTGCTAGCATATTTTATGTAGTTAACTTGTCTTAGCATGCTGCTGGCATGTTTTAACATTGCTAGCATGTTTTAGAACACTGCTTAAATGTTTTAACATACTAATAGCATGTTTTAACATGTTACTAACAAGTTTTAAAATAAAATATTTTAATGTGTTAATATGTTTTAACATTGTTAACATGTTTACCATGCTTCTAACATGTTTAGCATGTTTCAACACATTTATTTTACACAATTTTTTACAAGTTTAATAAGCTTCTAACTAGGGATGCATCGAATGTTCGGCAACCGAAATTATTCAGCCGAAAATAGCGAAATAAGCGAATAAGCGAAAAGACCAAATAAATTGTACCGAACAATGACGTGATGCGATCAAATAGAAACCAGTGTAGAGTGAGAGGCATGCACTCTTTATAATGCAGCAAACATTTCGGCAGTGTGGAAGCATTTAAAACTGTCCGAGAAAGACACAAAAATCATTACAAGCACCGACAGCAAGAGACTGTTTACTGTAACGCAAGTGAGAAGTGGAAGGGGTGGTTTTTGCTGGTTACTGTATGATAATTGAAATCACGAAATGGCCTTAAACAATTAATAAATAAACTGCAGAACGTTATGTTTTCTAATACATGCACGAATTGCATGCATTCAAACGATTCAAACAGCGCTGCACGAGCTCGTTAGCCAGGGTTCAAAGTTCAAAGCGTGAGGAAAATCTGCACCGAAACAGTGTTACTAGTCAGTTGCTAAGTAACATTTTTATGATTTTTTACAAGGCATGCGACAGTGTGATACGTGACAAACATCTTCCCAAATTCGTAATGAGAATCATTTATAAATCTGCTGTTGTCAACAAAATGAAGCACTGAGGTCTTCCTGCAGGTTTCCGCCAAAAAAGCTGAGAAAAAGCAAGAACTCCATCAATGTTCATAAATGTTAATGGTATTTTTACTGTTATTCGGTAAAATAAAAAAAATAAAAAAAAGAATATACATTTATTATAATATTCACATGGTGTTCAAATTGGGATCTGTAATATTTTCTTATATTTGAAAAGTCTCTTCTGCTCAGCAAGGCTGCATTTATTCGTACAGTAAAAATACATGCCTGATTCAAGAAGGGGTCTCAAATGGCCAAAAAATATTATTTTAATAACTTATTCACTTTAAGTTAAATTGTGCTTTGTTGGTATCATGTCTGCTAGAATGTAAAAAAAAATGCTCAGTGTTAAATAAATATTTTTAAATTGTTTTTTCTTTGAAAAGCAAGACAAAACAGTAAAAAAAAGAGCAAATTTTGGCTATTTATGCAATGGTGTAAAAAAAATGGGAAAAATACATGGGGAAAAAAAAAAAGTATTCGGTATTCGGCCCAGTGTTTCATTTTGTTCGGTTTCGGCCAATAATTTTAATTTCAGTGCATTCCTACTTCTAACATGTTTTAACCAAATGTTAGCATGTTGCTTCCAGCATGTTTAACATTTTTTACACTTTTTTTTAGCAAGTTTAGTAAACACGTTTTAACACATTGTATGTTGTAGCACACGTTTAACATTGTTTTAATATATCATATTGTAATAATTAATAAAAGTCGTATGTGTAAGTAATAGTCAAGATCACTACCTTAAACAATAAAAAAAATTATCTAGGGTTAAAAAATGAAAACAAAACATATTGTGCTACAGTGTTTGTGAAGCGTTAGTGGAACATATTCATAATGTGATTCTCTACATTCTGTTAGTGTGAAGTTGAGGAAAACTGACTTCAGTACACTACATGTGGTTTTGTGTGTTACGTGGGATCAATCTTACCCTATAATAAGCCAACTGTAGCCCAATCTGAATGAAGGCATCCGGGCTGATTTTACACTTTTTGATGGCGCCCTTGCCAAACTCTTGTATTGGCAACACATGAAAGTCGACGTCATCGGCTAGAGCCTGTGCCACAGCGAGAGAGCGTTCGATACGCTCCTGACACTAAATACACATACAGGAAGTTGAATTATTCAGTGTCTCCATTAGCGGCCACTGTATACTCATGTCTGTAAACATGAGAAGGTGTGACGGTGTGTTTGTACCTCTGCAGGTATGTCCCAGGTTAGTCTAGTAGGTGGAGGCAGGGAGGAGGCCACGTCTCCTTTACAGTGGCCTTCTTCAGTATAACCCAGCTGGAAACTATCGGTAGTCATCACATACTTAGAGAGAAAGAGAGACCGCGGGATTAGAAAACATAATAACAACGACAACTAGATTGGATTTACTGAACAAGTCAGCAAAAGAATAATGAACATTTTATACAAGCTTAAAGGGTTAGTCTAACCAAACAGATTGCAGTGTTAGTATTATTAACTAAAACTATTAAAATATTTTAAAATCATGAATACGTTTATAATGTGCTTAAATGTAGTCTTTAGCTAAATTCTAAATTAATATCAATTTTTATACGGTACATTATAATGTTGTGATGCCTAATTTCACTTACAGGATGTAAAATGATCAATTTAGATTTTACTTATTCATAATGTGATTCTCTACATTCTGTTAGTGTGAAGTTGAGGAAAACTGACTTCAGTACACTACATGTGGTTTTGTGTGTTACGTGGGATCAATCTTACCCTATAATAAGCCAACTGTAGCCCAATCTGAATGAAGGCATCCGGGCTGATTTTACACTTTTTGATGGCGCCCTTGCCAAACTCTTGTATTGGCAACACATGAAAGTCGACGTCATCGGCTAGAGCCTGTGCCACAGCGAGAGAGCGTTCGATACGCTCCTGACACTAAATACACATACAGGAAGTTGAATTATTCAGTGTCTCCATTAGCGGCCACTGTATACTCATGTCTGTAAACATGAGAAGGTGTGACGGTGTGTTTGTACCTCTGCAGGTATGTCCCAGGTTAGTCTAGTAGGTGGAGGCAGGGAGGAGGCCACGTCTCCTTTACAGTGGCCTTCTTCAGTATAACCCAGCTGGAAACTATCGGTAGTCATCACATACTTAGAGAGAAAGAGAGACCGCGGGATTAGAAAACATAATAACAACGACAACTAGATTGGATTTACTGAACAAGTCAGCAAAAGAATAATGAACATTTTATACAAGCTTAAAGGGTTAGTCTAACCAAACAGATTGCAGTGTTAGTATTATTAACTAAAACTATTAAAATATTTTAAAATCATGAATACGTTTATAATGTGCTTAAATGTAGTCTTTAGCTAAATTCTAAATTAATATCAATTTTTATACGGTACATTATAATGTTGTGATGCCTAATTTCACTTACAGGATGTAAAATGATCAATTTAGATTTTACTTTTTTTTTTTTTATACAAAATAGAACAGAATTTTAATATCAGCCATAACATTAACAAAATAACCATCCGATTAGTGTTGTCATTGTATCCCTATTATGTAAGAATGATTTAATTCAAACCAGATTATGACATTACGCTTAAGACAAGAAAGAGTCCTTTGAATGACAAGCATCATTATATAGCTTATCTGATATTATACTCATTCATTTCTGTATTGTCTAAACAATACTCTCTTTTTCTCTCATTCTGTCTCTCACCTCCCACACGTGAGCCATTATAGGTGCGTCTGCCCAGGAGTGTTCAGCATTGAGGCCGTTCTTCCCATTCTTATACACCACCACAGTGAACGACTTATCAAACCACCTGGAACACAAACACAGTGCAAAACACTGCCATAGTAAAGACAAAGACTACCATGTCTGGCTGTGTAAGAGACTATTTATTCTATTAGCAATTAAGCTAAGACAACAATTAGCATATTTAAAACATAACTGATGGACAAATTTGGATTGAAAAGCATCTCACCTGTCGTAGCATTTGCCGTGCAGAAGGGACTTGGCATAGCGATCCAAATTGCCAGCAGGATCATCTCCCCTCATGCCTTGCTCATCGTCATCCAGGGCAACGAAGAACGCAGCTTTCTCAATGCAGTCCAGAGATCTCTTATTCACTCCTGAGCTGAAGAACTCTTTTCTGGCCTGAGCCCAAGGGATTCTGGGAAATGAAGTTCAATACATCTGAGCAGTCGTAGCAAGAATTTGAAAAAGTAATCTAGGGATGGTCTACATAATACACAGATTTATATCAAGAAAGATTCTTAATATAAATGCATGTGAAATACTGAAACTTTACAGTTTAAATTGATGCACTAAAATGGTTCAAAAACGAATAAACAATAAACAATTTAAAAACCCCATAACTAATAAAAAGACAAAAACACAACTAAATGACTAAAACTTACTAAAATTAAAATGAAAACTGAAAATACAAAATAAAATCTAATCTACAAGAAAAACAATGTCTCTCAATGATACTAAAATACATCACATTTTTTAAATATATTATATACATATACACACACACACACACACACAATAATTAAAACCTGTACTATTAATAAATATTAATAATCAAAACCTGTGAATATTAATACTAGGGTTACGGGTTTGTTTAAAACAGTAACAATAAATATAAGCAATAATAACAGAGATGCTGCTTTGGAAAACACAACTGATAAATAAATAAACCAAATTTAAACTCCTTTAAAATTGTCTTATTGTTTATTTACATTCACTGTATCTTGGCCTACTTCCACAAAAGCTTTATTTAACATTTCTTTACATATAGAACACATGCATGTTTGTTTTGTGTCAAATGAACCCTTTAAAGTGTGTCAGCAGACACTGAGCACGTTTACATGCACACCAGTAAGCTGATAACTCACAAATATCAGCTTATTAAAAGAACCAGTTTTCCCCGTTTACATGCACATCAGAAACCTGACAACGCAAGTAAGCTGCGTTTACATGACTTCATTAATAAATCAGGTTATTTCCCTGTAGTGACGTCAAAATATAATCATTTGCGTATCTGACTCCGAGTATTCCATACATTTGTCAGTTGTGATGTTAAATTAAGCTTGCAACATGTCTGGAAACTTACAGCTCATATATTATCCTCTCATGCAGTTATAAACGCAGCATTGTGACTGAACCACTTCTACTTCTGCTGCACGAGATGAGAACACATTTTTATCATTTTCTGAGTCATGAAAAAGTCTGCTTTTGTGATATATTTCCTTCTTTCTTTACTGCAAGACGTTTGCTCGTCTAGATGCGCTTAAATCTGCACTAACCATGCGTTCCTGTCACGTATCACACATGCGCACTTCAATAAGCCGACAGAAAGCGGGTTACTGCGTTTACATGCCATGCGAAATCGGAGTAAGAGGCAAAAAACGACCTGTTGCGACAGGTTTATGCTTACACCGTTTATGACCTTACTCCGATAAAAGAAAACGGGTTACTGCGTTTACATGACCAAGTGCGTTTTCGGGTTATTAAGCATAATCGGCTTGAGAACGTGCATGTAAACGCACTTACCTGTCTCCTGCTGTCAGGGCCGCGAGTTTGGCCTCTCCGGGCACTGGGGGTGACGGGTCGTCCATTATACGCTGAATCTGTTGCTCGATCTCTCTGGGAGACAGCATGCGGCCGGCGTGGTACAGCCACAGGCGGAAATAACGGCCTCGGTGGAACACCGCCACATACTCGCTGTCCTGCCAGTGGATCAGGGAATCTAAATACACACAGAAAACTAGTAAATGCATGCCAATTCTCACCTTTCGCACTCATGCTTTGTGAATTATGTGCTTTTCAAGCATCAGCAAATGATGCCAAAAATTAATTAGAAGATTCTCAGAGAGAAGCACACATCTGAGTGGGTTTGTGCATCTGGGTCAGTCTGTGTGTGCGGTACAAACCAGGTCTGTCCAGGGTGTGTGTGTGTGTGTTTGTCTGTGTAAGTTTATACAGTAAGACGTGTTTGTACTTGTGACACTTCTAGGCCTGTCACGATAACACCTTTTTGTTGTGCGATATATTGCCCCAGAAATAATTGTGATAAGCGATATTATTGTAATTTTAAAGACCATTTTATGCCACTGAATATATAATCATAATGTAACAGCATAATAATGCAAGAAGGCCTACACACTTCCAAATGACAACAAACTTTTCATTTTTAAGAATATTTTTAGATCATCAAAATATTAGATCGCTTAAAAAAAACTGAATAAATATTAAATAAACATTTTCTAACAAAAAAGTATAAAAAAAGAAAAATGCACAAAGAACTTGTATGGAGATTTTTCCATCTACAGATTTTTCCCTGACCTTCTTTTCTCTGTAAATGAAGGGTGCACACTATTGCTGAAAAACACAATCACTACTTAGCAGTCAGATGTCCATATGCACAAAGGCACAGATCCCTAAACAAGACCATATCTGCAGATGAAACTTTTTTTGTAGAAGCATTTTTCAAATTTGAACTAGCACCAACTACACCACATTATGTACGAGAAGCTGCAAAAGACACAGGCGCAAGTGGAATGTACAAAACATGGTGACATTCATTTTTAAGTAAATATAATGGGCGATATATTGCGTCAACAAAAATGAATGAGGGCATGTACATATATTGCACGATAAGTCGATATATTGAAACGATATATTTATATTGATTGGCCTAGACACTTCCAGGAAAAGACTAAAGTCAAATATCTTTTCATCCTAGAAAGTATGAGGAAATGGGATAGAGGAAAGACTGAAAAATTTTAATTTTGAAGAAACTGTCAGTTTAAAGAGATTAAAGAAATTATTAAAGGGAAGAACAAATAAACGGTATATTTATATATTCATACACACACACAAATATATAGGATAATACATATAAGATGTATTTTTTCTATACATTTGTTTGTTTATATATACTAGTCAACATTTGAAGTGGATCAAAACCTTTTATCAAAGTTGTCCTAAAACCAATGCATTCTTGTCTTAGGAAAACTTTGATGAACTTTTTTGATCCACTTCAAATCTATCTATCTATCTGTTATTCATCAAGTATGCATTCAATTGATCAGTGAGAGTAAAGACAGTCATAATGTTACAAAAGATTTGAAATAAATGCTGTTCTTTTAAACTTTCTTTTCATCAAAGAATCCTGAAAAAATGTATCACTGTCTCCGCAGAAATATGAAGCAGCAGAATTTTTTAAACATTGATAGTAAGATATGTAGTTTAATATGCAATGACAATTATGCACAAGTAAATGATTTGTAGGATGGTTCCCTCAAAGCCCGGCACAACAACACTGACTCCACCAAAACTTCAACCTTATTTACCGTTACAGGTTGGGTGATTGTAGGTTAGGTGTGTCTGGTAGTATGACTGTACTAACCGCCCAGATTTTAGTGGTGTTGGACACTTTCCCGTGTTGTTCAAACATCCAGCCATGATACGACAGTAACTGCTTCAGGCAAAGCCTCATGGTGAAGATCAGCGAGAACCAGAGCAGAGTGCTGAACAACACGGCAGAAACCACCGTCCGACACTGAATGCTCAGAGAATCACTACAGACAAATAGACACAATATTACACTGCTTGCTGTTCTTTTAAACTTTCTTTTCATCAAAGAATCCTGAAAAAATGTATCACTGTCTCCGCAGAAATATGAAGCAGCAGAATTTTTTAAACATTGATAGTAAGATATGTATCTTGAGCAGCAAATCGGCATATTAGAATGATTTCTGGAGGATCATGTGACACTGAAGACTGGAGTAATGATGCTGAAAATTCAGCTTTGATCACAGGAATAAATTACATTTGAACATATTCAAATAAACAACAGTTATTTAAAATTGTAATAATATTTCACAATATTGCTATTTTTACAGTATTTTTAAACAAACAAATGCAGCCTGGGTAAACATAAGAGACTTCTTTCAAAACCATAAAAAAAAAAGAAATTCTAGCCTTACCCGTCTCTTCTCCTGGAATGCGTGTGGTGTTGAAGATCCTCTCACATTGAGCGGCACACAAAGGAACATTCAAAACTGGCACACGACTCTAAAAGACAGAGTTACACTGTCAGTCAAGGTAACCAAAATGTAGTTTTAATAACTATTTTCCACCCTCAACTATTTTTTTCACCTGCAATTAAAGGGACAGTCCAACCAAAAATATTATTAAAAAACAATATTCATTCTTACTACAATTTTTTTGTTTGGACTACTCCTTTAAGAATGCTGTTATTACTACTGTAACTTTAAGATATGTAAATGACCTGTTATTAATATCTAAACTCCACCTGGCATAGTTTAAAAGCTTGATCATCAAAATGGGCCAAATTGCTAATATGATGATATATAAATGCATGTAATATGCTAAACTGCTTAATACTGTATGTAAATGGGACTCGAGTTTAGTTGTCTTGAAGAATCAAACTGAACTCACGAGGACGTTTTATGGTGTATAACATTACATATACAAAGCACACTTTATTTTTAAAGTAGTAATGTTTTCCCGTTATGTTCTCTTTAATGCAAATATGCAAAACACCGACTCAATACACACAGCCCTGCGGGTCTTCCCTATTCACACACACACAGTCTCCATCAACCATCCATAACCGAACAAAGTTCAATGCACAGCTAAAAACAGCTCTGCAATCAATCTCTGTCATCGCTCGGGGCGACGAGAGTTTCACCCTCCCGTTCACCCAATAGCATCTGTCAGCGCTGTAATGTGGACTCACAGGTTTGATTTCCTCTCTGTTAAGTTTCCTGCGGTACAAGAGACAGGCATGCAGTGTGTTTCCTGCTCTCGCGGCTTGAATCGGTGTAGGTGTCACGTAGAGGAAGTCCTGAAGATGAAAGAGAAGGACTCAAGAGGCTTGAATATAAAAATATCACTTTAGAACTTCCTGCTTGTTTATGCATCTGTGAGCCGTACCATTCCATAGTAGTTGCTATTGACCATGAGTGGGCCACGCCCCCTCAGGTAGACATACTCCTCCCACCAATCACTGACCTGAAGATGCAGACACAAGAAAACATTAAAAAAATTTAATTAAATTAAATGGTTAGGAAATCTTTTTACCATCCTACAGTTCAAACCCACTAGCAAAATATGATTTTCAGGTCAACATGAAATTAAAATTGACCCTATTTGCCATCTTATTAAATTAGTATGAAATGAAATATAAAATTCCTCGACTTATTAGCACACTATTTGTTATTTTTTTGTTATGTAATGCCCATTTAAACTTAATATTTAATAAATATTTAATTCCTTGTCTCTGTTTATTAGGGCACCATTTATTCTAAATATAATATAAATGTAATTCCATTCCATCCTCTCCTCATATCACCTTTAATTTGGTATGTAACGCCTATATTAAACTTAATATTTGATCAATTTTAGATATTAGACTCCTTGATTCTGCTAATTAACATTTATTCTAAATTAAATATAAATGTTTGTTTTTGCAATCTTTCATCAAAACGCAAATGTTCTGTGAAGGACTTGGATTTTCAACTGATGTCACAAATCTTTTCCAGAACCTTTCATTTCGTATGTAATGCCCATATTAAACTTAATATTTAATAATGGTAATGGTACGTAATGCCCATATTATACCTAATATGTAATAAATAATAAATTACATTCCTCCTCTCTGCTTATTAGCACACAATGTATTCTAAATAAAATAAAAATGTTTGTTTTCATAACCTTTCATCAAAATAAAATGACTTACTTTTATCCTCTCTCCTCAAATCACCTTTACTTTGGTAGCAATGCCCACTTTTTTTTAACGATCCAATCAGTTCCTGTTGGATAAAATCCAGTTCCTTCCTATATTTTCTTTACATATCAGAGCCAAACTGAATGTTTGATGTCAGATTAGGGAAGCATTTTTAAGGTTGGATTATTAGACGATTGACAGGTATTGTGTGAAGTTTATGTGTATGGTTTGCTGTTTGCTCGCACATAGTTGGATGCCCACATGGCTTTCAGTTTGAGGTACCACTGCAGGCGGTTTCCCAGACTGCTCTCAAACTCCTTGGCCAGAGTCGTCATCCTCTCGTATTCAGAATCACTCATCAATGGACGCGCAGACTCCAGGTACTAGAAGTAGGAGAGAATGTTAATAAATAAAAAAATGTCCCATATAGAGTGGTTTAGTGATATATATTGGTGATGATGATGACATTATGATCTCACCCTCTTAACAGTGTCCTTCACTGTTGGAACAGGCAGGTTAGGCAAAGACCCTTGGTAACTGTACAATAGAGGCTGTCTGCCGGAGAAGATCCGGACCATGGCCTGAAAACAAGCATATTTGAAGGTAAAGTGTGTGATTTTGATGTTAAAATACTCTCCTATCCAGTTTAATATGCAATGACAATTATGCACAAGTAAATGATTTGTAGGATGGTTCCCTCAAAGCCCGGCGCAACAACACTGACTCCACCAAAACTTCAACCTTATTTACCGTTACAGGTTGGGTGATTGTAGGTTAGGTGTGTCTGGTAGTATGACTGTACTAACCGCCCAGATTTTGGTGGTGTTGGACACTTTCCCGTGTTGTTCAAACATCCAGCCATGATACGACAGTAACTGCTTCAGGCAAAGCCTCATGGTGAAGATCAGCGAGAACCAGAGCAGAGTGCTGAACAACACGGCAGAAACCACCGTCCGACACTGAATGCTCAGAGAATCACTACAGACAAATAGACACAATATTACACTGCTGTATGCAATACTGTAATTAATGTTTTATTAGTTGTTGGGACACTCAATGAAAACAGGTGCAGTCTGATAAGGTAATTTTTTAAGCACATTTTTTAAAGACTGTAAATATCCTATCAGACAAATAATGTATTTAAGTGTTGCATTATCACTTTCAGTGAGCTTTTAGATGATTAATTTAGTTTATTATGCAAAATCAGATCAGATATTTTAAGATCGTCCTCTACTGACAAACAAAGTGTCCTGTCCATAAGTTCTCTTCTTGAAAGTATGATATTATCAATATGACAATTTTTTTTTTAAAAGAGTAAATTGTTATTTTAAAAAGGGAAGACATATTATAGCTTTGATGCATAGACTGGAGACACAACTAAAATTATTTTTAAAATAAAAAAAAATTAAAAAATTAAAATGTACATTGCTATTCAAAAGCCTGGGATAGATTTTTTTTTTACACATTTTTGAAATAAGTCTCTTATGTACACCAAGGCTGCATTTATTTGATAAAAAAAAAATACAGTAAAAGCAGTAATATTCTAAAATATTATTACCATTTAAAATAACTTTTTTTATTGTAATATATTTTAAAACGTAATTTATTCCTGTGATGTAAAGCTGTATTTTCAGCATAATTACTCCAGCCTTCAGTGTAACAAGATTCTTCAGAAATCATTCTAATGCGCTGATTTACTGCTCAACAAACATTTATTATTATCAATGCTGAAAACAGTTGCTTTCTGATGACTAGAAAGTTCAAAAGGACATTTATTTTAAACAGAAATCTTTCGTAACATTATAAATGTCTTTATGGTCACTTTTCATCAATTTAATGAATATTTGCTAAATTACTATTAATTTCTTTAACCAAAAAAAACAAATGTATTGCTCCAAACTTTTGAATGGATCAAAGAATAATGTCTTATTGCTAGCTGTCGTTTCCAAATATGTTTTAATCGGAAATGCTAATAGAGATGAAAAAAAGCTTTAAAACACATGGCTCCTTGTAGCGACAAAAACAACAAAAAATTAAAATGACTGGATTATTGTTAATATATTTAGATTTTTTTTAAAATGTAATCACACAAAGTTACACATCAGCTATTTATTATTAAAGTCATTGTCTTTAATGAGGGACACAAAATAACATCTGTTTTGTAGAATAGCTCTTCTGCTTTTATCTGAAAGCAACTGAATCAAGGTGTGTGAAGGTACACACCCTCTTCGGGCATGTTCAGAAGTTCATGGGTGGGAACCCCATACTTTTAAAAAGTTTCAATGCAAGTTACATAAGAGGATGGCAAATGTTTCAGTGTATCTTTGAGTCACTGAAGCGGTTCACACTGCAGATAATTCATTTGTTTTGCCAGTTCTGTCTTTAAAGAGCATGGGATCAGATTTCCCTGTGGTAATGTGACCTCGATTACCTGACTGGCAGGTGTTCCTGGATTTTAGCGATGAGGCCCATGGAAGGGTCTGAGCGTGTGTACATGGTGGCCAAGATCGCGATGACAACAAACAGCCATGAGGACGGGCTGGCAGGATACACACCAGTGATCACGTTGTTCTGTACGAGAGAAAGAATAAACAAACACCAGAGAAAAAATGAGGAAAGATCACCAGAATAAACAAAAGACACATTACGAAAACCAGCTGGGGAACGTGTTACAATAAACATAAAAAATAAGGCAACAAAATATCAAAATGCGCTATTTGCTTTTGTAATAGAGACTATATTGCTCATTTTAGTGTTCATTTGTGTATTTTATTCTAAAAATAAATACATTTTATAATCAATTAGAAAATGCATGATTGACTTTTAACACACTATGCACAAAAATAAACAGAAAATGGACAGATTTTGCAGATTTTATTGTGCATGTTATTGTGCATTTGTGCATTTTGTTGTAAAATAAATAAATGTTTGTTTTTAGAATTTAAAAAAATGTATAAGTAAAAAACGTATACATGCAAAAAAAAAAAAAACAGGCAGATTTAGTAGTCGACAGATGATCAAAATGATCTATTTGCTTTTGTAATAAAGATTTTATTGTGCATTTGTGCATTTTATTCTAGAAAAAAAAAAGTTTGCTTTCATAATCAAATGTAAAAATGTATTATCAAAGTTCAATTCACTACTACTAAATGTCCCAAAAAAACAACAACAACAACATAAAACAGGCAGATTAAAATCAAAATGAGCTATTTGCTTTTGTAAAGATTTTATTGTGCAGTTTATTGTTTGTATGTGCATTTTACTCTAATATAAATAAAGGTTTATTTTCATAATCAAAAATAAAAAAAGCATTATCAAAGTTAAACATTAAAATAAACATAAAACAGACTAATTTTGTGGATGACAAAATAAAATCAAAATGAGCTATTTGGTTTTATAATAAACAAATTATTGTGTATTTTATTGTTAATTTGTGCATTTCATCCTAAAATAAATAAATGTGTGCTCCTTGTAGCGACAAAAACAACAAAAAATTAAAATGACTGGATTATTGTTAATATATTTAGATTTTTTTAAAAATGTAATCACACAAAGTTACACATCAGCTATTTATTATTAAAGTCATTGTCTTTAATGAGGGACACAAAATAACATCTGTTTTGTAGAATAGCTCTTCTGCTTTTATCTGAAAGCAACTGAATCAAGGTGTGTGAAGGTACACACCCTCTTCGGGCATGTTCAGAAGTTCATGGGTGGGAACCCCATACTTTTAAAAAGTTTCAATGCAAGTTACATAAGAGGATGACAAATGTTTCAGTGTATCTTTGAGTCACTGAAGCGGTTCACACAGCAGATAATTCATTTGTTTTGCCAGTTCTGTCTTTAAAGAGCATGGGATCAGATTTCCCTGTGGTAATGTGACCTCAGATGCACCGAAATAAATTCTGGGCCGAAACCGAAAATTCTGGATGCACTTGGCCGAAAAGCGAAACCGAAAATGCTTTGCATTATAAACTCATAAACGTCTTTATGTTTTATAAAGTGTCATATACAGTAAATAAAGTTACTACTACAGGCATTAACACAGATTGGTTGTGTTTCGCTGTTAATCCTCCTTAAGGATTGTTCAGCATTCATTTACTTGCGTAGAAGACCACCCAGCCCTCGACCCCCACTCTTGTCTTACATAAGCTGTTCATCTGACCTATTTCACAGCTGTGGGACAGCAATGAACAGATTCTACCACACTGTTTAATTAGAGTCTGTCACCTTTCCCACAATTACTGAAGTCAAGATGTTCATGATGTGGACTGTTGTATGAATCTGGATCTATTGTTTCGTTTACTCTCACTGATGATCAAGTCAGATCAGAATAATCACTTCAATAGCGCCCTCTAGGAATTTTCAGGCAAATAACAATTTGCAGTCAATTGTTTGCAGTCTTTCACAAAGAGCTTTTTACAGTGTACAGTATTTCCCTGCAGCGCAATTCAAACACACACATGTTGTGTTTCCATGTTTTATGGGGACTCTCCATAGGCGTAATGGTTTTTATACTGTACAAACTGTATGTGCTATTGCCCTACACCAACCCTACCCCTAAACCTACCCCTTACAGGAAACTTTCTGCATTTTTACTTTCTCAAAAAAACACATTCTGTATGATTTGTAAGCTTGTTTCCTCATGGGGACCTCAAAAATGTCCCCACAAGGTCAAAATTTACTAGTATTACTATCCTTGTGGGGACATTTGGTCCCCATAACGTGATAAATACCAGGTACACACACACACACACAGTTGTTCTGAAGAAAAGATTCAGTAGTTTACTTTGATGAACTGCACTGAATAACTTTGTATCCATTTTAAATTATCCAAGACCCGCAAAGATATAGTTAGTTTCTTCATTGATACAGATTTAGAGAAAGTGAGCATTAAATCACTTCTCACCAGTGGCGCGGAAATTTTCAAGTGAGTGGACCTGGGTGAAATAGGGTGGACCTCAGTGTCTTTGGCTTTTGGCTGTAAAACGAAAAAGGCCAAAAATATGAGCTGAAAGTATATGCCTAAATTGATAATAAAAATATGACTTTACTTGAAAATGTGATGTTATATAACAGACATACTGGTCATATATCGTCGAAAAGGTCTCAACTAGCATAATTGTTTCAGGACATCAAACAATACCAAATATATGTGAACAGTCGTGAGACTTTTGGGCTGCGTTTTGGTGTGTAGCTTCACCAAACATACTAGATTGACAGCGCTTGCATTTACCATTTGTCATAGAATAGAAGCGCACAACTGGAAGATCGACACTGATCACTGGGGTCTTATTACTTATTCTTTACTAGCGGTGTGTGATATTGACAAAAAAATGATATCTCGATGTTTTCTGGTATTTTATCAGTAACAATAACATTATTTTGCTGAGTGTGTTATTGTGCTGGTATCTTAAGGACTACCGTGGACAGCTGACTTGTAAAGTTTTTGATATTCTTCATTCTGTGTGGTGATCAGTTCACAGCAGTGATAGAAATAAATCTTTTCCAATAAGTTTAAATAGATTTTTACCTATATTTTAACTATAAAGCCATTTTCTTTTCTAGAAAAGTGTGAATCACCTTTTGAGTCAACTTTTTACATTTAATCAGTCAATTAGAATAATAAGACATTTGGGCTGTTACCAAGCAAATTAAATCAGTATTGACAAAATTAATCTTTGCAATGCTGAGGAAACAGAGAAGCTGCATCTGAATTGGCATTTAAATGTATTTAAATGCAGCTCTGAGGGACATGGAATACTTTAACCTGCAGGTAGAACAATATTTTATACAAAACGTTGAAAACTGATTATTTAAGAAAAGAAAAGATACTTTAAATGTGAAATCAAAACCGCCAGTAGGTGGCAGCAAGTCACTGTTAATAAGTGAGTCATTGCGATTGAACCAGATCATTGAAACGGTTGATTCATTCAGGAACGAAACACCGCCATGTTGCTCAGAGACACAAAACAGTGCTGTGGCTGTGTTTGGAATTTGGAATTATTTTTGTTGTCGAAATTGAGCAAAGACAGGCAATACGCGGTCTAAAACGTGAGTCTCTTAATAATTTATTGTTTATTGAACTGTTGTAAAAATCAATCACATTTGTAATCATGCTGATTTTGGAGGAAAAAACGGCACTCTTCGTGGAATATTGATTAACTATATGAAATGATATAAATATATACATTGTCTGCCCCCATATCTTGAATTTGGTTATCATTCTTAATTAATACACTTTAATAGACCGAATCATGCAGTGAAAGAACACACACATTAGTCTAACCTACTTCATCACATAATGTATGCGTGCACTCTGTAGATGTGTTTTATAGGCTTTTGCGATATAGCCTACTCGATAACGTCAAATCGCACATCGTTAAAACAACAATTATGATATTATCACAGACGATATAAATATATTGGGTGGACCAGCCGTCAATCTGAGTGGGCCAGTTCCACCCCGGCCCTTATGTAGCTTCACTGCTTCTCACCAGTGGATCCTCTGCGGTGAATGGGTGCCGTCAGAATGAGAGTCTAAACAGCTGATAAAAACATCACAATAATCCACAAGTAATCCACATCACTCCAGACTAGTCTGTCAGTTAATGACTTGTGGCGTGAAAAGCTACATGTTTGTAAGACACTAATCCATCGTTAAGGCTTTTCTTTTTTTACTTCAAGCCATCACTTCTGGCTAAAATATGAGTCCATAACCCATAATAATGCTTCTTCCAGTGAAAAAGTCTATCCCCTGCTGTCCTCTCAAATCAAAGTCCACCTGCATATTTGTTTAGAAATGTTTTGGACTGTTGTGGCTTGTAAACGGTGCTTGATCTGTGCACATTTGTCTCCTGATTCAGAATTTTTCATTGGAGAAAGCAATATTATGGATAAAGGAAATTAAAACGTCAAAGATGGATTTGTTTGTTACAAACATAACTTTTCACTTCACAAGACATTAATTGATGGACTGGACTGGTGTGGATTATTGTGATGTTTTCGGCTGTTTGGATTCTCATTCTGACGGCACCCATTCACTGCAGAGGATCCATTGGTGAGCAAGTGACGTACTGCCAAATTTCTCCAAATCTATTCCCATGAAGAAACAAACTCATCTACATCTTAGATGGCCCAAGGGTGAGTGAGAGCTATATTTTAAAGTTCAGGTAAACTATTCCTTTAAGAAAGTTTTGAATGAGGCATTTGAAACCAAAATCACTCATAGAGAAAATATTAATTTTGTGTCATTGGATTTTGACTCAAACCCTCCCTTATAGTTACTGACATGAAGTCCAACTTATCGTGGTCTTATCTATATGTAATCAGAACGGATTCCTAAAACAAATAGTAGATACTACAAAATTGCTGTATTGTAGGTTTATTTAAACGTACTGCTCTGTTTGTCCACGCGAGGCCGCTGTTTTCCCTCTTCCACTGACAATGAGAGGTGGCAGAAGCGCAGCATCCCGCATCACTCTGAAGGATGCTGGCAACCATGTCTGAAAAAAACACTCACACATCCACATATGGCTGACGAGGTGGAAACAGCGATGTAGCTTTGAAGATGCCATCCCTTTTCGTCTCTCGTTTTTTCTTCTTTATATTTTTGTGCGGTTTTAAAGGGACCGCTGGCAAATCGATCCCTGAAAGGAAAGCTGTCGGTGAGTAGAAAATAA